TCACCTTCAACTCAACAGGGACGGCTTGGCGACCCGTGACATCCGACTCCCCGGTTGGGAACCAGTCTCTGTCCCTCACCAGCTCCACCAAGTGCACGAAAAACGGGTAGGGGACGCGGAAGTTGTTGCGAAAACGCCGCGCTTCCCGGGTCGTGTGATCTGTCTCGCCTGTCTCTCGCAGCTCCATGAGCTCCTGCCACCATCCCGACTTCGTGTAGTCTTTACGAACGTACACACGCCGCCTCTTCACCTCCCTCGACGCTTCATCGTCCTCTGTATCCAGCTCTAGATCGTCTTCGAAGTCTTCCATGATAACGTCCCAGACGGCGACGCTACGTTGCAGCTGCTGCAGGGAGGCAGTAGCTACCGCCGTGGTGGCGAAGGCAGCCGGCACATCGATACCACCACTTTCGGTTGCTGTCTCGGCCATTTGGCGGTGAACCACACGTCCCGCGGGCAATACAAGTGCACAGCCGAGGCGGGCGACGCCCAGCAGCCCTAAGAGCGCCGGCACTGCGACACGCATCTGCGGTAGCCGCTGTATTGTGCTGTGCTGTGCTGTGTGTGTGCGTGTGTGTGTGAGCCGGGCGGCGTAACCAGCGTTTGAATTGAATTTTTCGGGTGAGAAAATCCGGTTGGGCTTTCACCCGGATTCTGCATCAGAATCCGGGTGAAAGTCGACCGGATTTCTGAAACTGGAAAATGTTGACCCGAAAAACTAAAGAATCCGGGTCTATAAGAATCCCGATTTTGGCCATATCGGGATTTTGAGGTTTTTCAGGTCAAGAATCCGGCTCTATAAGAAACAGCCTAACACGGTCTTCGATTTTTTTTTTTTTAGTCAGCTTTGCATATGTCTTGCCTTTCTAACGCACCCAGCCAAAGGCTAAACGTCAACGTGTAAGTATCTTTACACGCACATAACAGACCAGACTTATGGTACAGAGGAAGTACATATTGATGTATCTGCATTCTAGTCTTAAACAGTCAGGGGGGTAAATAGCGGCAGAGTGAGTTTTTTCTCACTAAATAAATCCTGGTCGAGGATGAAAGCGACGCGCTGCAGAGTTCGTTACTATCAATAATAGACTTCGTAAGTCGCGAGGGAAGGGATTGCTGTACCCTTCTCGCAAAAAAAATATCTCCACGAGATGGGATCCCAACGATCAGATGCTGAATGATTGATGGGAGAATAATATAAATGAGAAGCGCGTGTCTCTCGCGCGTGCGGCAAAACCAAGCTAGCTCGGCACCTGCGAAAAGTAGGTCGGCGAAGTAATTGCAATTTACGCACAAGCCCGCGCGTTGTCTGCAGCCTGGGGGATTACGGGATCACTACTAATTTGAGATTTGGAGAGTAATGTACAGAATCCAAAGCACAACGGTTGTTGTTTATCCAGACCGCCAACAGGCCAACCTTTTTCGGACAAAGTGTTGTGGAATTTGAATGTGGGAAATAATGTGGAACCCGAAATAGATCGGGATTAATCTCTGTGAACAAGTGCGGGAGATGTTAACTCCCGATTGAAGGATACAGCACTGGACAGGGTCTTCATAGCCTCTGTTAGAGGGAGCTGGTCCGTCCCCACCCGATCATTCCTGCCTCATAGCCAAGGCAACAGCAAGCACTGTTGGTCTACAAGAACATTAACAAGTAGGCGAGTTTTTCATCACGGGCCATAATATCATCAGCACACAACAAGCAAAGAGACGACGGCCGGCTGTCTACGAGATGGAACGGTTTTTAAGGTGAAGGCAAGAACAACAGCAACAGCAACAAACAGCAACGGCAGGCTCTCAATCCTCCTTCTTGCTGATGACGCCATGACGTGCTGCCTGCAGCCATACGACAAGAATCCTCCCATCATCCACACATCGATGGTGGGAGAAACAGCGCCATCAGCGCACATCCGGAAACACGTTCGACAGACAACCGCCCGCCCCGCCCGAGACCCCGCTACAGAGGGACGCCTCTCCTGCACAATGCGGTAGCATTTCTCGTACTCACTGCGAATGATCGGAAGTCCTTTCCTCTGCCCATCATCTGGCAACGATCTAGAAGACAACAAATTGCGAGTATAATGCGGCTGCTTCGTGCTCGGGCAGGCAGAAAAACACTAACCTTATATAGTCCAGCGTCCGCGTCTCCACTATCTTTCATTCCACGACGTCAGCCTCATGCTGCACCTACTCTGGCCATGCTCTCACTGCTGTGTGCCCAACCCACCGGGTCAAAACACGCACAGAAACAGGCAGGTACAGCATCATTTCGGAGTTCGACATCGTTCGATGACTATTGGCACAGGCGTCTCTAAACTGATACACGACTGCAGTTGCTTGTTACGGTCGAGTCTCCCACGCAGCGGAAATATCGCGTCACCTCCACATAGCTTCTGCGAAGCTCATGACGATTTTCCGAGGCAGCTGAAAAATGGGTTGTGGACAAAGCATCAACCGACAAATGGGGCAAGTATCAGAGCCACACAAAAAAAGGCTCGTGTTGAGTGTGAAATGAAGGAATAGGACTCGATGTTGGATGGCCACTGCGAAACAGACAGTCTGACACAGTCCACCAGCGCACAACATCGTTCCCCTTACATTGGCGAAACTACGCATGTACTTGTATGACGCAAACCAAACCGCTTGATCTATGCTCTTTGAAAAGAAAAGTAAGATACAGAGAGGGCCTTGAGGCTCCAATGGTATCAATGCAGGCTGCCCAAAGAACTCAACAATGCCTACAAATTCTACCCTGCAATACCCAAGAAAACGTTCAGATGCCAAAGCACAAAAGTGCTTCATTGCGCTTCTGGTAGCCACGATGACTACCAGGACAAGCTTGCAGGCTAGAGGCCTTTTCTACAAGCATGAAAAGAATGAGAGCACCAGCATCGCAGCCTATACAAATTTCGCTACGCGGAGGGATCTTACAAGCAGCGAAGTTTGCAAGCCCGCCCGGCAGGGAAGTAATTCGATTCAACAAGAGGGCCAAATTTAACCTTCGCTATACCTAACTCGCGGCCAGGTTGTTGCTTGCCAGCCGCGGCATCTCATGTGTTTGCTCCTCCACTTACCAGCGGAGCCAGAACGTGCACGTACAGCTTGTTTTGCCATCCGGGAACGACAGTGCGGTCTCCTCTCATCAATGCCTCAACTGCTCTCGCGGCCACCTTGCAATCAAGCGTGCAGGCGATTTTACACTTGGAAGCAGCGACCAAAGGGAGCTAAATCGTTGAATTGCGCACGAAATTTCGACCTGATACCTGAGGAAAACGAAGTGTGACGTATGCTTGGAGACCCCAAGCGGGTCCACGGCCCTCGCGTATGACGCGTGTAACGCTAGGTTATACCACCGGCAAACACAAGGTGCTGAGCGACAGCCATGCTGAACACAACACAATAGAGCCGAACACCTGGGGAGCAACTGATCGAGCTGTTCACACGCACGCGAGCAGCACAGATGCATCGAACACGTAATCACAAGACGGAGGGCGCTTCGCCCGACTCATTCACAACATGGATGTTCAACCGTCACTGGGGCATCAACTTCTGTGACACACAACGTGCCCGGCACAACGCCGGAGGCGACAAGGTAACCACAGGTTGCATGCCACCACAACTTCGTTCGGTCGTCGATGATGCATGGAAACTTCACCATTCAGCACGTCAATTCAATTCACGTGACCACTGGAAGTGATGTTCAAAGCTTTCACGACTTGTGGCAATACGCGCGTCCACCGTGACGTATTTATGGGGGGAAAGGTAAGCACTCGCCAATCGCTCACACTCGATCTTCAGGCCACGCGCACACGTCAAGAGCCACCCACCTTTCCCAACGACTCACACCTTCCCAAACTCTGGCTTGCTCAATCATTACTAGACGGTACCCCGAGCATACTGCTAACCTCAATTCATCTGTCTTCACTGTTCATACCTCATCCGCTTCCATCGAAAAGAGGGGAAGCTGCCAGACCAAAGCTGCCGTAGAGCCCGAGTTGTCTTGAAAGCTCGTTCTCGTAGCTCCAGGCATGACGCACGTTACGCCTACCCCCGATACCTCCAACTCGCTGTGCAGGGCTTCTGCAAAACTGCAAAAATTCGCGTACGGTGGTCATGACGCGCACACCAAATCCACACGCGGCGACTACCCCCTAACGAGATGACGACGGGAGATACGACAAGAAAGAGTTCCGACAACGCCTAACGAGTGAACGATACACGCAGAGAAAAGGGACCAGGGAAAAAACCGGATTGCACACAAGCCACGAACGCCGAGAACAAAATCACGTGATAATCGTGCTGCCCTAGGCCATCAGCCAAATCTCATACCATCTCGTGTCATCCCACCTGGTGAGATACGACTTGCTTGCCGCGTACGCAGCGACCGTGGGATTAGGTGCTGCAGAAACGACAGAAGACACGACCATGATACGGCCTTTTCGTCTCCTCACAAAATCTGTAGGAAGAGCGAATGGTTAGGGCAACATTGTAGAGTCAACTGGAACACCAGTACAGAGACGAAAGCTAGCGGAGGAAGTGCCCGGTACGGCAAACAAAACCATGGTCAGTCCAACGGAACCAGTCTCCTCCGATAGTAAGTCAGTGCACGCGTCTTCGAAGATGCGTGGCTACGAGTGAAAACTGTGCACGCAAGGGGCCAACGACTTAGGAATTGGAGAAACCATGTGGGACATGGAGTTTGCGGGGTCACTATCAAACAAAGCTCCGAGTCTTGCGAGTGTGCCAACGAGAGGCCGCCGGTTGTTAGGGGTTCCTGCGCAGATGCGTTCCCCAACGTGACCACGGAGGGGGGATGAACAAGCAGTGACCCCTTGAATAGTCCTATCACAGCTACCGATGGGAGGTACAGGAGCAAGGATAGTACGCAACGAGAGAGCGAACTTCATGGACGAAAGATTGAAGAAGCAATGAAGGTTGTGCAACCAAGCACCAGGGACGCCGCCGAGACAAAGGGGTACGGGTACGGGGTACGGTCAGTCGAGGGACAGAACAGGGTAACGTCAGGGACGCCAAAAGCACATAAAGAATCGACAACTTAAGGTAGTTGAACATCAACTCTGAGAACAGGAGTACATCTTGCACACGACCGAGACAAATTAACGTTGTGAAGACAAAAGTCCAAGTCGCACCTTTCGCGAACAGGCGAGTCAGCTGACTCGTGCCTACCACGTTCAGCATCAGCTGCGACGTCAGGTCTTCTTCGGCACAGTTATTCACCCGGCCAACGCGGCACAACCCAGCCGCATTCACTAGGATGTCCACCGTTAGATTTAATCGTTGAACCTGATTTAATTCGACAGAGGCTTTCGGGTGTGTGTTGGGATCACCTTGGGCACGTGTGGTACGTCCACGGTTAGGCTTGGCAGTAGTGGCAACACGAACAGACCACGAGAACGCATGCAGCATGCACGAGACGGTCTTGAAGATGGCAGGTGGATATGCCCGTCGTAGTGTATTAAGGTCAGGTGTAAACAGAATGATCCGAGGCGTTGAGTCGAATGATCCTTCTACCAAGACACTGTTTCATCATGCTGCATCTCCACTCCATGCATGGGCTCCTCGAAAAACACCAAATGTGTACCTTGTCAAGATTCGGCAAATTACAGGCAGCACAAGAGAGTTGATGACGACATACCGACTTCGTCTTTCCGCGGTACAGCAACGGCTTGAAAACAAAAGCGTCACCTTTTTCGGTGTAGCAGGAAAATGCACTCGAACACAAGAGTGAGCTGTGGCGGTCGGAGAATGATGGCTAATGCATGGATTTCTTGCCGAGACTATAAAACACGTCGGAAGTTGGCAGGATTGTACGCATTGCTTCAAGGACTAATCCCCATCACGATCACCAACCTGGCATGGTATTCGTCACATGCTTCGCATAAAAATCTGTATTCCACGTGGATGCACAACACCTGATGATTCATGTGTGGCAACGGCGTCAGTTCCACTTTGTGTCGAAGAGAGCAAACGCATTGCATACAAGGCCTTCAATTGCAAAACAAAACACAAAGTGGGGATCGCGCTCATGAAACCACCCTACCTCTGCATACACAGCCTGTGCGGAGGTGGCATTTCCCAGGTCAGCAGCAAACCACCTCGCGGTTACCGCCTCCGCCAAATGAGGGGCAACAGCAGTAGCTGCAGCCGCATCTTCTCGCTCTTGCCCCTTGCCCCTCTCTTGTTCTAGCTCCCTATCCGAGTGCGGTCCTATAAAACTGGACGAGTTAGAAGAGAGGCCTACGGCAGCACCCGAGCCATTCCGCTTGGAGGTCTGTGCAGATGATGACGGTGACTGTGTAGCTGAGGACGCCGATGACGTCGCCGAACGGCACATGCTCTCTTTCCTGGAACCATGTGAACAGAAACCAAACGTTGACTGACTACCCGTCGCGAAATTGCGCATCGCCTTTGTAGATGCCCGTGAAGCCGAAGCAGGTAGCCCAAAACGCCACCGCAGTGTTTTTTCACTTGATTCAGTTTCCAGGAACGGAATGACACTCCCATAAACAAAAATGTACTTCACGGTCCGTACAGTTTGGTCTGTCCTCATTAGATGGCCAGCGGTGATGCTACTAGATGCGGAGGGAAGAAAGGCGCCTTCACCGCAAACCAGCAAGCGGTACCGCAGCCATAAACAACACCGCAAGGTCTGCGTTGCCGGTGATAGACAAAAGTCATCTGCATACCTCTCTTGGCGACGCCGGCGTTTTCGATCTCTCCTGCTTTCTGAATCTCTTCTTGAGGCGCTCGCTTGCCGGCCGTCATCTTCGCCCTCCTCACGCTCCCGTCTGGCCACCTCCGCCGCCTCCCTGGATGACGGGATGCAATGAGCATGGCATGACCCGAGAACGGGACAATGGGACGGAACGACCATGGGATGACTGCAGGGCGCGATGATGGGATTCGCGGGGGGCTCACGATGCAAGATGACCGGCCTGTATTTCAGTATGGTTCGTACAAGCCGTGGTACTGCTATAGGTCACGCAAGTACTGTGCCCTTTCGCCTGTGCAGCTTCAGTGTGTCCCCGGATATTGTATCCGGAGAAACCGAAGCTGACAGGTATGTGCATACATGACCCTGCTGGGCCTCCAGAGTGGTACAATTAGAGCCATGTTCAAACGTTGGCAAAAAGAAACATTCCGGTACCGTTGAGTAGAGACGCGCTACTTCGCCACCGCTCATGCACGGAACGTTTGTTCCCGAGCACCGCCATTAGCTCTGCCTCGCACTTCTCGCACGCATCAAAGGTGCCCGAGGCAAGATGACACTGCAGCGATGGCTCTGTGCCGTGGCCGACAAACGCTTGCTCAATCAAGTCTCTAGCCTGTTCCTCATCAGCACAAGCACTACAAACTCATGAGGGCGAACACGTAGGGTTATGCATCCAACGTAGGTACGCTTGTCCGGGGAAACCCGAAGCTCACCAAGAAGCACGTGCACAGGAGACAACGCGGATGAAATACGTTTATCACGTGGTACAAACCTGGATGCCTCAGTTAGGTCCTTCGCGGCCCTCTTTAGGCCCTCCTTACCCCTGGCAACCAGCAGAATGTTGTAGCCCCGCCCGGCCAACTGAAGCAACGGCGTAGTCACGTGGGAAGCAAGGAGCACAAAGCAGGGGTCGCGACAGCAGTGTTTCTCGTATAGTTGGGAAAGAAAAACGAATCTGAGGCTTTTGAGGAGAATGTCCAGGGACGCGTTGTACTCGAAGTACGAGGAAATAAACTGGCTTCAGACGTTCCAGTTTTTCTCGTGGGTAGCATGCCCCGGTACGGAATGATTTTTCAAAAACTGTTTGTTTATTGCCCCCCAGATATCCAGGGTCCTAGAATCATGGGGGTCAAACTAGCCTTCCGGGACAGAATAACGCAAATTATATAAATGTCTAAATGTTGCCAGGCATGATTTTGCACATGAAAGGGGTGAACTGGAAAAACAATTAGGCAGCTTATAAAAAGGACGGTCTGTCAATGCGATATAATTTTCTAGAGAAGTGCTGGATAAAGCAGCTGCATATGGTTGCATCAGATTATTGAACATGGGCAAAAAGAATACTTGAAGGTACATACGCGAGTCGACAGAACAACGTGCTGAGTGCCTCATGAATCACATCGGTCGAAAAACAAATGCAGTGCTATCTCCATGCACCGTCAAGTATAATTCACCACACTACGCCATCATCGTCGTTGTCCATCAAGGTTTGTGGCCACCCTCCAAGGCCACCCACATGTAGCTGGGAGGTTGAAACAAAAGTAGAAAGAGCGAATCTGGAACTCATTCTGTACTGCTGCCCGCACCTCGTTTGCAATCTCTCGACCGATGCCCGAAGACCCCCCAGTGACTATCGCGTACGGTGCTGAAGGGCCGGAGGCCACCGTAGGAAGCGGATACACCTAGCAAACGGCACGTAGCAGCAATGGTGACAAAACGCCATGCAAACCACCATTCCCGTATGGCGACATTCAATGCTGAAAGCTTGAGGCATACAATACATGGTTGCTTCGTCTATGTTTTGATCGATATACTAAAAATAGATTGCCTACCACGGGTGTCAAGGACAAGAATAAGTTCAAATCGACAACAATGATACGACCGGTGTCGACCTTTGAGATCCTGCGCCGTCGCCTATGAAGCCCAAGGCAGTGCAACCGTCATCACGTAACCACCGCGTGTTCTTCTAAAGCCAGAATCTCTTTGCAGGGTCTTGACGGTGAGCAAAAGGCCATGTCGTACAATCATTCCTATTGGGCCATCCTCGAAATTCTGCCTTGGCATTCACAAATCGGTTCTACTAGGAAGAGATATAAAACTTCTTGCATGTTTGACTGTCCGTATACCGGGACGGCGGCGCAGTATGAGCGGCAAAGGGAGGAGCTGGAAAACAGCTGACCTGGTGACGGAATTGATCTTGAAGGTAGCTGGCAACCGTTAATACTGACAAACATTGCGTCGCCAGCACGAGCACCTTCCGTGCCGGTCTCCTGAGAATTTAACAAACAAAACGAAACGTGACAAGACGAAAACGTCAAACATACCACCAAAGGTGCCAAACGCTAGCCACAACAACTCCATCCACTACAAGCACAAGACAGAGCGCGAGAGTGTGCAGAGACGGACTTCGAAGCAATGCAACCCACACTTGCTGGGATTGTTTGCGAGCGAGCTAGCGGCGATCCGATCAAATACGACGCAACTGCGACAAGGCTGCCGAGTTCACTCCAACAACCAACGCGTCAACGAAATGCATGGAACGCCCTGTTCGTCTGTCACAGCTACAAGCTCTATTGACTGCGACGCAACCAAGCAACGAGTGGGGGATTATATCCGAAGGTAGCGTGGCAGTCCTAAAACTTCGACAAATGAAAAAACTCACGGGCCGATGGCGGTGAGGAGAGACATCCCTACGAACACAGGCGAGATGTGCTGAGACACCGTGAAAACGACGTATCCAAGCATCATCCCGTACAGTCCTGTTGATGATAGAAACGATCCAAAAGTACAAGGAGCGAAAAGCTCCGCTTAGAGTCGTGGTCGCCACATGTATGCCACCTGCTGAGGGAACGTGCCAATCTCGTGCGCAACAGTAAAATAGACGGCAGATCGAGTAAACCAAGAACGTCGACGAACTGCGTCGACTCAGAAAAGGACTACGTATGACAGTATGCGTTGGCGCAAATCATGAGGCCCAGCGATGCATGTCGACAGATGCTCCACAGCTACAAGGCCCAGCTGACCCAAAACAGCTCAAGTGACGGTACCGACTCAATTGGAATAGGTTGTCTCGGCCAACTCAACATGAACAAAGACTCACCTGCTCTGGATCGAAAAAATCTGAACACCGGTGCTATGGTCCTCAACAGAGGCGACCGACTGACAAGTTCCTTGTCGACTTCCACGCCATCCTCCAGCCTCAGGGACTCGGTGCTGTTGCCGGCAACCACAACAACACTGTCGCCTTCGGGCCCTGTGTCACAAGTGTCAACACCCGGAGGCGAGGGTTACTGCCTGCAGCTGGCCACAAACAACGCTTGCCGAAGACTCGCCGCCCCAGAAATGAACATAACTCGTGCGCAGTGTACTCGCATCCTCGATACCAAAACGTACATGCGGGGCAAAAGGAGTGGATCTTCGCTGCCACCACCCACGGCAAAGGAAGCAGGTGAGACAGATATCGACGCTGTCCCACCGAACCAACTCCTCATCACGCTGAAGTTGCATTCCACGTGGCCAAAACAGACACAACCAGGGAGCCCCTCGAGCATGGCGGCAAATTCGCAAAGTATGACAAGGAAGAACCTTCAGGGCAGCAACGCAAACACGTGTCCACCTAGAAATCTTGACCTATAATAACATGCCGAGGTAAGCCGGAGATACATTTACAATGCATGATAAAGATCGGCCGCCCCAGTGGTCTAGTTGGTACCCTCGTAGCCTGCTAAGGTCCAGGTCATGGGTACGAGTCCCGGCAGAGTGAGTTTTTTTCTCACTAAATAAATCCTGGTCTACATTGGAAGCGACGCGCTGCACACCTCGTTGTTAGTAAACTTGATCGACTTCACAAGTCGAGAGGGAAGGGATTGCTGTACCCTTCTCGCCAGAAAAATATCTCAGGCAGGAACCGCAGGAGGAGGTCCAACCCCCCCCTCCCATGTGACCCCGGTTGGGTCGTCTAGCTAGTAGAAGTGGAGGATGGGGGCCAGAGGGGCAGACGACAGAGTCCAATGATGGGAGAAAAAAAATAGAGAGAGAGAGGCGTGACTCTTCCTTGGAGGTGGGGGAGGAGGTGGCGAGTCCCAACGGACACACACAATCTACGTGACACGTGAACAACCTAGAAGCGCCTCAGAGCCGTGCATCACGCAAGAAAAAGGATGAAGAAATTACTCCCCAAACACCACAAAGAGAGCAATATCGGCTGCGAGCATCACATACAACATCAAGCATAAGACCTCTGGCGCGGCAGACCGTTGTAATTTCAAGACATGAACTCTAACGGTTTTTGCTGTGATAATTTCTCACGAACCACAGGATCAACGTCACGCGCCAATGACACCGCAAATAATACCACCGAGCACCGAGCATGGCTACTGTAACGGGCTTTCATCTCGCACAATTCCAACCAACAAACGGCGGCGCAAGACAGACCTAGGGACAGGAATACATAACGCAAGACAAACAGTGCAAGCACAAGGGCGGCCAAGCTGTGCTAGAAGCTGCAATACATTTAGTATGCCACATTTAGCGAGGGTCTAGCGTTCCTCTCAGGCTCACCATTATTCCCCCGCTGCCCTTCGCCGCCCCCATCCCCACCCCCGCCGCCCTTGTTCGCGCCCTTCTCCCCCCCTCCCTGTCCCCCACTCCCACCGTTGCTGGCCTTAGCGCCACCTCTGTTCTTGCCCATCTTCGTGTCTGTTCTCGGTCGGACTGCTTCAGGACCCAGAAGATGAGTGCATTCCTGTTCAAGAAGTTTGAAGAAATCAAACTGGACTCGCAAAACTGAATCCCTAGGCTCAGTGGTTTTCCGCTGGAATAACCACATCTGCACCGGACGATCTGTCTAGCCATTGTTCGTCGACAACAGAGGGTTAAGATTTTTCGAGCGCCATTACCGTCGACAGCGGGGCGCGAGCTCGGATATTTTAGCAACGCAGCACGTGCAACATAGAACAATTAAAACGGAGTTGAGGCCGATGAATCTTGCGAAGACGGGTCTTGATGGGCAAGCCTGTTTACGGGTAGAGTCGAAACCGCTTCAACGATAGAAACGTAGACATGGAAACGTCCCAGTAGTTGTTGAACATCACAGGAGATGTGGAATACAGCATTCCTCCGTCGGGAGACAAGAATTGGGTTGTGCAAAAGTGCCTTCTGGGCCTGCAACGACAAACTTGACGCCACAGCGGTGATACAAGACTTTCGGCGTCGACTAGAGTACCTTGCTTGCCTCGGGACATACTTGCAAATCATTGGTCTCTGAGGCGTTCGCGAATTTGTCATTCGTGTACAAAAACTGCATTTTCGGTTTGGCGGGGGGGGGG